TACATACCCAATACATGCTAGGTAATGTAATAGGAAAAATTGGAGAAGCTGGCTTTCAATGCTCTGTACCCCTGATGTTTACATCATGAGCCAAACAACCATGAGTAACAAAACCCAAGCCCATCAACTCCCACTTTATTAAAGTTATATTTAGTCTTGCCAATCCAAGAAAAACACCTTGCATCTAAAGGAGAAACTCTGCTGCCAGAAACTTGTCTTTCCAATTCAACTAGCCACTGGAGTGTGAAACCTTGACTTTTCCCATCCTTCAGAGCTCTGTCCTGCTCATCCAACACTCCAGTCAAGTCTGAATAATACAAAAACCAAGCTAATATGGATTAGGACTAATACAACACAGCCATTAGACAAGATGCTATCTCAGAGAGAAGGCTGGTGGTTCAAATACCCATTTGCCTACTATCCCCCAAAAAAGTTCTGATTATCAAAGCTAAATTAACTGTCACATCTTCTGCAATTACTCTACAGGTGAAAAACCACTACTAATTACATTTATAAGTTTTAATTTTTTTGGCAGCACCAGGGTTTGAACTCAGGGCCTCACACTCACTAGGCACTCTACCACTTGAACCACTCCACCAGCCCTATTACATTGTTTGTTTTTTTGTTTGTTTGAGATAGGGTCTCATGAACTCCAATCCTCCCAATCTCTGCCTCTTGAGAGCTTGTTTGGAGGTTCTAGCAGGGAAGCGCAGCTACTCGTATACCCTTGACCGAAGAACGGTCCTCCTCTATCGGGGATGGTCGGTCCGCACATGGAGCGGTGAGGGAGGAAGGGGACACCCGCCTAGTCAGCCAGATCAGCCGAATCAACCCTGGCGATCAATGGGGTGACAGATGTCGCAGCCAGATCGCCCTCACATCCTCTCTGCCTCTTGAGTAGCTAGGATTACAGGAGTGTGCCACCAGAGACTGGTTACATTTATGTTTTATTAATAGAACATTCTGAAGGTAGAATTCCAGGTAAAACAGTAATTTTTAAGAGTGCTGGGGGATGGAACCCAAAACCTAGAACATGTTAGGCAAATACTCCACTACAGAGCTACATTCTAACCCAAAGTCATTTTTTGCTAATTCTTGAGATTTTCCTTTCCTTGAGATTTTTTTCCTTATAAGAAGGGGAAAGTACATAGATTTCTCAAGGTAATTGCCTTCACTAACTTCTGAGCTATCTGTACAATTCTATAAGCACAAAGGAATACCCTCAGATTCAAAACCTACTCTGGAGGTATATGCCATCTCAAGGAGGCAAGAGATTATGAAGTTACTGGTCCGCATGCCAGCTGCAATACGTATGTGCATGGGCAACAAATACAAGACATGCTCCAAACATTGTAGGCACATATGAATTAAAAAAAAAAAAAAAGACATGCTCCTTGGACGCAGTGGCTCACACATGTAATCCCAGCTACTTGGGAGTGGAGACAAATCAGGACAGAAATACAACACCACATTTAAAAAATAAACTAGAACAAAAAGGGTTAGATGTGGTCTAAGTAGTAGAACCCTTGCCTAGCAGAAGCACAAGACCTTTTGTTCAAATGAGATGGGAGTGTTTGTGGCAACAATAAATTCTTCCACTTAAATATTAAGAGTATTTAAATACAGTAATCCAACAGAGCTGGGCTTGGTGGATCATGCCTGTAATCCCAGCTACCCCAGAGGTAGAGTTGGGAGGATCTCTGCCCAAGGCCAGCCTGGTCAAAAGCTTGAGACTCTACCTGAAAAATAACTAAAACTGTTATTTGTGCTTCAAGTAACAGAACAGAAGCTGAGTTCCAACTCCAGTACCAACCCCCAAGAGTTCAACAGTCTGAAAGCCAGAAACAATAGTCACTGTTGTTCATTTAGAATGCCCAAAAGAACCTTACGAATTTTAGATAAGGCAATAATTTTAAGAGAAAACCAAGTTATGGCCAAATAAGGTATCGCCTTTGAAACAGATGAGGACTATAAATAAACTGAAACCTTCTTTGAAATGCACTGTGACCCTTAGGAATTTGAACTTAGTTTCCCCTATCTCAAAAAAAAAAAAAAAAAAAAAAGAAATGTTCTTGAAGTCCACTTGGGTATTAACAAAGGAGTCAGGTGGATTTTTTTCATGTCCATCCAAATTTATGAAGTTTTGACAAAACACCTTATCCCTATCAATATCTAACAAAAACCCTGAAATTTTACTGGCTGACTTACTGTACTTCATTTTTTCAAGCTTTGTTAACATTCCTATCCTACATTATCATTTGGGTCATACTGTTTTTTGAAGCAAGGTCTATGTAGCACAGACTGCCTGGAACTTTCCTACTGCCTCAGACACCCAAATGCCAGCATTACAAGCAGGTACTACCATGCTCAGCTCGTTAGCCTTGGTTTTCTCCCAAGGTTAATTTCCCCTTATTCTTCTACAAGAGCTATAGCACTTGTTCAATCTTGCCTTGATTCCATCCTACTCACTCATTGAGCCTGCAGTTACCAGCCCTTCTCCACTAGATGGTGTCAGGGACGAATTTAAGCCAAACCAGATTTAACACAGAATCGTCTGTCCAAGTGAGAAAAGTAAAACAAACTTTTCTTTTTATTTAAAAATAGAAAAATCCTGTTACAGCAATCCTTTAAAGTAGAAAGGGTGATTATACTCGCTTACTCCTTATCAACAGGCAGGCGGGCGGCTCACATCTGTAATCCTAGCTATTCAGAAAGCAGAGAACACTAGGGAAGATCGAAGCAGGAAGCCAGCCCCTGGCAACTAGGAACTATCTCGAAAAAGGTCATTACAAAAAAAAGGGCTGGTGGAGTCACTCAAGGTGTAGGGACCGGGCTCAAACCACAGTACCGCAAAAAAACAAACAAACAAAAAAAGGCTTCATCAATCCTTAAACATTAACTTCTATAGGTGACCCACACAGACCACCAACAAGCAAGGTGCTATACTTAAGTACTGTCATACAGGTTATACTCCAGGTGGACAGTGACATGAAACAAGTTTTTAAATGCCCCTTTAAAACTACAAAAGAGCAAGTAAAACTATTCGACCCCAAACCTGGCTTTTGCGTTTGTTGAGTAAGAATCTGTCAAAAGCGTTAAGTAGAATGTTATAGCTGCTGGAAACTGTCCAAAATAGTTAACACAAGGGAAAATGCTCCGACCACTTAAAATAATGGGATTGAGCCAGGTGCCAGCCGCACTCAGGAAGGAGAATCACCAGACCAGGCCAGCCTGGGTTAGATACCGTCTCAAAAAAAAAAAAAACCTAGGGAAAAAACAAGGGCTTATAGAAAAAAGCTACTATATGCAACTTAGTTGTAGTAATTCCGTATTCATAATTCATTCTTCACAGTATGAAGCAACAGTCCCTTCAGAACTCCAGTCAAATCCAACAGCCAAAAATAACTCCCATTTCTAACACTTTGATATCCAGAAGAAAATAAATTTTAAAACACTGAGTTTTCAGGTTGACAGACTGGCACAAGTGGTACAGCGCCTGCCTAGCAAGGTAGACCCTGAGTTCAAACCTCAGTACCGACAAAAACAAAACCCAAAAAAACTCCATGCTAAAGTGGAGGTCTCATCTTTTTCAGAGCACAGAAACGTAAAAGACATCCCTTCTAACCACATGGAAGCTCAAAGCTCTCAGTACTGGAAACAGAACACAGCAAACTTCCCAAGGAGAAAAAAGGATCGAGAAGATTGGGGAATGTTTTTATATTTTTTTTTCCTACCACGATATTCAACGGTGAGTAATTCGCTTTCAGGCCTCAGGAAACCACTGATGTGATATTATCAAGAAAAAGTGAAATTATCCTCAAGAACAGGGACCAAGTTCACAGGCTCTTAGAATTTGTTTACCTTTCCTTTTTTTTTTTTTTTTGGCCACTTAGTCTAACTTTCTACCAAGTCAATCAATTGCCCCAAAACAGTCAAGCCATTCAGCCGGGTTTCATTCTGTCGTGGAGCGCTTCTCTAGCATGAGGAAGGCCCTGGGTTCGATCCTCAGCACTGGGGGACGGGCAGCGAAGACACCTAGCCATGAGCCCGTAGTTCAACCCCCTCCTCCATGCTGCGGCCCGCAGCGTCGTGGAGAAAGTGTACCCCTGACCCCCAGGGGACATTCCCTTGCTCTAGTTTATCAGGACTTTGGTAACGACATTTGCACCTCTGACTCGCGCACATGCTCTCTAATAAAAGTCGCCATCTCCAAGAACCTCTTTTCAAGACAATGGACGGTTTGCAGCTTCCAACTGCCGTGTCCACACGAGCAACGTGGACACGCGTTAGTATAAACTTCAGTTACATAAACCTCAGGTATGTGAACTGCGGCAACGGTCTTCGAGGGAAACCCAAACAGGACTTCTAAGCCTGGTCAGGCCGGCGGCTCGCAAACTTCTCAAGAGCCCCTGGAGAGTTCTAGAAACGGCTTTCGCGCTCGCCCCGCTCGCCAGGCAGCGCCGCGGTGCACGAGGTCCGGCGCCTCGCTTTAGAGGGTCCTCGCCCCGCTCTTAGAGCGCACTGCCCAGGCTCCAGGACCGGGCGTTCCCGCCACCCCACCAGCGCCCGGCAGCGCGCCCCGCGCGGGCCCGGCCCAACCGCCGCCGCTGGCCGGAGTGCGGGGGCGCCGATCCCCGCCCCGACCTGCGTCTAAACCCCGGCTCAAGCCCTGAACAGACCGAGATGCCGGCCGCGGCCCACAGTCCACAGACAAATTCCGACACAGACCCCGGCAAAGATCCCGACCCTGTCCCGCACCCCAACCCCGGACGGGCCCCAAAACCCACCCCCGACCTCTGGGTCCTGACCCGGACCTGGCCTCCTCTCTCTCTCTCTCTCTCTCCCGCATCCTCAATTCGTCCTCCCACTCCGCGTCCCCGTCGCGGCCCGGCGGCGACCCCAGTCACCCCACACGCTGCCGCCAGGGCACCGGGTCAAGTCCGCCACCTCCCGACCCCGCGGGGCCATGGACCCGACCTCCGCCCTCATTGGCACCTCACCGAGGACGCAGACGGCCGGTGGGAAGAAGGGAGGCAGGTGACCAGTCTCCTCGCGGCTCCGGCACGGCGGGGCTGGTGACGGCAGCGGCGGCGGGTCCTCGCGCTTTCCTTTCTCTCCTTTTCTCCAACAACAAACAGGAAGTGCGTCACGCGGCGGCCGCACGGCGACGTCGACTTCCGCCCGGCTCAGACGCCACGCATGCGCAGTCGCCGCAATCCGCTCTGCCCGGCGAGGTCTATCATGCCCCGCCCCCTCCTTCGCGAAGTTTCTGGACGCCGGGTCTCGCCCGGACTTTGAAGAATGCAAAGAGCTAGGGTTGAGCGCCCACGCCACGCTGCTCTGTGGAGGGACGTTGTGGAGCGGAGGGGCAGGGTCGCGGGCGCCCGGAGACTCGGACGGCGTCCTCTGCAGCGCTGCGCACGCGGTGCCCGCCGCGAGGGGAGACGCGGGGTCGCGGTCAGCGTCTGCCCGGGACCTGGCCAGCTGCGCGCTGGGCCCCCCGCCGGCCTCAGTGCATCCCGACCAGAAAACCTGCACGTGGTGACCGCGCTGCAGAGGGGGACCCGTGTCCGTGGAAGTCTAAAACGCCACGCGCTCGAGGACAGAAGGGCGCTGCCCAGGCTTCCCGGCGTCCCCGCCCTGCTGGGTCCCTCTGTCCCCTTGGTGTCTTTGTCCCTGTGACCTTACAGTGCCCTCTGAGACGCGGAAGGCCCTCGGCGCGTCCCTTTCGCAGCCTCGGGTGCCGAGGTTCCTTAGCGTGGACCCGGCGACCGGAGCCCGGGACGCGCACGAGTCTAAAGCTGGCTCGTGATGGGGAAGTGCGGGCAAGGCCGCCCGGGCCCCCGCGAGCAGCAGGTGCAGCCCATGGCGACCCTCGGGGCCCCCATCTCCAGCTGTGTCACAGGACACTGGCTGCAGGTCAGCCCCAGGTCAGCCCCACGCCCGCCGTCAAGGCGAGGAGTAGAGCTGGGGTTTTAGGTTGTCGCTCAGGTTGTTTTCTTGGGCGTGAATTAAATTTCTCGTTACCCCACGGCCAGCTTGTTCTGTAGCCCTGTTAAATAAAATGACCGAAGGCCACGGTTTTGGATGAAGCTTGTGCGCTGGGCCCCAACAAGACCAAGACGAACTGGAGTTACTCGTAGTAAAAAGGCGAACTAATTTGTCATCTGACTTTCCCAGAAATCGGGGATCCCCCCACCGACCGGTTTCGGTTGGAATGGTAATGAAGTTCCTTTCACCTTAACCCTTAGACAAAAAGGTAATCTAAAGTAACCTGATGTTAACCAATCAGTTATTTTTTATTGTCTCCCTGTCTGCCCTTACAAGGAAACTCTGAAGTGACCAATGGCCTTGTGGTCTTTGTTTCTGCTCTCATCAGCTTTTCTCAGAATGTAAAACCAACGTCTTGTGCTCAGCCCCTGGAACACTTACTGTCTCATGAATGAAATTTGCCCAATTCTAGAATTGTAAATAAAGCCGGTTAAGATTGTTAAAATAGCCAGGGTGGCGGTGCACACTTGTCGGGCATATGCAACAATGCTTTGACTAAAACTTGACTTTTTTTTTTTTTTTTTGCAGTACTGGGGATCAAACCCAAGGTTTTGCACATACAAGTGCTCTACCACTGTGCTATGGGGAAAAAAAATTTTTTTGAACTGACTCAGTTCTTTATTTCTTTAGTAGGTTAGATAATGACTGGTCAAAAGGAAGAAACAACAGTATTTGGTTTTGGTATGCCTATCACATAATAAAACCTAAGATAATCTCAGCAAAGACTAGAATTTCATTGAGATACTTGCCAGGGTGGCATGGTCACATGTAACTCTATCTGCCAGCGGTTGATGGAGTTTTATTTCCATTCTGGTATGTTGACAGTACCGTCATGTGACATTTCACATTCAAGTAAGTACCTGACAGCCATTGTGAGCTAATCTTGAAGTGCAGACACGTGAATTTTAAATAGTAAGTGGCAGGATAGTCACAAATAGCTAACTTTGTATATGTGAACATCTTTCACTGCAATGAGCTGTAAAATGAGACACATCGACCAGTGCAAAACCAGGTCCCACCCTGCAGAGTCCACAAGTGGACAGGGAGAACAGGCACAAGTACTTGAACATTAGGTGATGTGGTGATATTGAAGTGGTTCTCTGGGAAGGAACAGAGTTCCTTCTATTAAAATGGAAGCTGATGTGGGCACAGCCTGGAAGGTGGGTCCAGAGGGAGAGCACTTCCCTGTGGACCTGGGAAGGTTTCAATTCAGTGGAAATGGAGAAGCAGAAAGCCAAGGGCAAAAGTACAAGCCCTAGGCCCGTGAGCCAGTCAGCTGGGCTGGAGCAAAGCTCTTAAAGGGTGACAGAGAGAAGGGAGCCCTGATGGACAGGTACTAGGGCCTCTGGAGGTCAGGCGCTCCATGTTGCAGGAGGTGGAAGCCAAACAGTGACAGGCAGAGCTGCAGTTGTAATAATAAGCACAGGCATGGAAGATGGTCACTGCCTATGACTCCCTTTCCTCTAAATCAAGCCTGAGAGGTGATGTAAATTGTGTGTGCTTAGCTCGGTGCTGGGCCCACAGTCACACTCAGTGACAAGCTCTTCTTGTCACTGGCCTCTGAAAAACGGGAAAGGAATGCAAATGATGGGGGTGGGGGGTTGTGTCTAGCCACACACTGCCATGCCCTGCAGCAGGCCAGGGACTCAGGTGAAAGTCCTAATGATAAACTAAAAAAATTTGTCCATGATGCAGCTTGTTAACACTTACAGAAATTTGCCCTAAGTCAATAAATGCAGTAGTGAGAGAAAAAAAAAAAAGGACAGCTTATTGATCACAAGTTTACAGATAATTAGTACCTCCCTCCTGCAAAGTACCACACAGTCTATAAAAATAACAATGTGTTGAAGACTTAGAATGCTGGAGACCCTGGTTCAACCCCCAGCACTGCAAAAATAAGAACAAATAATGTTATATTTATTGACATTAATATACCCGGTGTATATATTTATACAGATACATAGCATGATTCAGTTTTTTAAAAGTTGTGTTCATTAGCGTATACACACACACACACATACCCGGGAAACTGGAAGAATAGTGAGTAAATCAGCAGATGCTTTAGGTAGTAAAATTCCAGATAGTTCTTTCTTCTTTCCTTGGGACTTTATATAATGTTTGAATGTTTATTTGTATTGCATATAAAATGTGTTTAATTCATTATTCTCAACAACTGGATTTTTATAAATAAAAGCACAATGTCAGAAAGTCCACTCAGAACTCTACATGTGGCTTCAAGGTACTGAGACTGAAGTAAAGCTGGGGGTTAAGCATAGGGAATGCATTTGCATTTATGCATTTGAACATGTATTGAACACCTACTGCACACCAGCCCTAATCTGGGCCCCTGGCACGCATTTTAGGAGACAGGATCTGTCCCTGAAGGAGCCTTAACCTGGAGGAAGAAATCCCATCCTGGGTTTTTTTGGGGGGGGTTTGAACTCAGAGCCTATACCTTGAGCCACTCCTCCAGCCTTTTTTTGTGATGGGTTTTGCTTTTTTTTTTTAGATAGGGTCCCGCAAACTATTTGCCTGGACTGGCTTTGAACCTCAATCCTTCTGATCTCTGCATCCTGAGGGGCTAGATTGCTGGTGTGAGCCACCATTGCTCAGCTCCATCCTGAGTTTTGGTGCTGGGCAGTGAGAGTTGGAAGGCAGCGCATGCATGCCCGGAGGGAGGCCTGGAGATCAGGTTTAGAATGGAACAGGGACCAAGTAAAGTTCTCAGAGTGAGTCCATAGTAAAAGCATGGGTAGTTGGAGAATTCCAGAGGCAAGGACCATTTGTGCACGTGGTTAAGACAAAGATAGAGGCTTCTGTTTTGAAAACAAGCTGTTGAAAATGCTGGGGAAGACAACAGGACTCCTTTTGGATAATTGTGTCTGGGTCTAGAAAGGTTAAATCCACTGGGGCTATAACCCAGTTGCTTAACATGTCTGAGATCCTGGGTTGGATCCCCAGCACCAAAAAATAAATAAATGAAAAAATAATGGTAAGGCCAGCAGCCATGATGGTGCACAGCTATAGTCCCAATACTTGGGAGGCTGAGACCAAGAAAGGAAAGAAAGGTCTCAAGTTCAAGGCCAGCCTGGACTATGTGGCAAGACCGTCTCAAAAAAGGTCATCAACAGAGTTTGGAAGAGAGTCAGAGACTGAAAGACCACACAAGGAAAAAGGCTGATTTGTGGAAGGAGAGCATCTTTGTACAAAAACCGAACAGGCAGGCCTGGGCTCAGGAGGCCTTTATGTCATAAAAACAAAATAACACTAAATACAGGTAGCGTTAAAAGACTATCTCAAAAATGAATTTCATAGCCTGGGCATCGGTGGCTCACGCCTGTAATCCTAGCTACTCAGGAGGCAGAGATCAGGAGGACTGAGGTTCGAAACCAGCCTGTGCAAATAGACACTATCTCAAAATAACCCTCCACAGAAAAGGACTGGTGGAGTGGCTCAAGGTGTAGGCCTTGAGTTAAAAACCCCAGTACCACAAAAAAAAAAAAAAAAAAAGTGCCAGCTCCATAAAATCTTGTACTTACTCCATACATCACCACCAGCATTGATTTATTTCTTATTTTCTTGCTGTGCTGGGGATGGAACCCAGAGCCTCGTTCGTGCCAGGCAAGTGCAAGGCCCTTGAGCTACACCCTTGGCCCTACATTTCGTGAGGATAGCTGTAAAAGGGAACTACATGCTGACGTGAAGTCACAAAAGAACAGGCTCAGTGCTGAAAAGCCTATGCAGTTATTATTAACTCCAACCACTTTGCACGGACACCTATATGTCTGACAGACATCATGGTGGTCACATCGCTGAGCAATCCATGCAGGCCATCGAAATGATAAAACTATCCATGAACAGTCTTACTGAGTTTGTCTTGCTGAGCAATTGATCCGCCATCTACAATGGCATTCTCAGAGCTGCTCAGAAAAGAACCTTTAAATAAGGAATCCCAGGATTTGGAGCTACAGTGTGCCTTCGAGAGCCTTCGGCAGCAACAACCTACCTGGTTGGTGGCCTTAAAAAAGGATACAATACTACCCACCACAGGAGCAGGTCTCCCACCGTGGTGCCATGAAGTTTGGA